ATAGTGTTAGTACTTACATACATTACCGGTGTTGTTGGTGTCTATTTTTACTTTTATGTAACTGCAGCTCTTATGTAATTCCCGCGGGAACATGTTTTTTCGCAATAGGATCGTTGGAAAAACTCTAGAATTTTACGAGACTGACACTAGTCGCAAAAGTAATAATGTACCCTACAGTTGCGAGGCGTGAAAATAGTCATTAGTAAAATGGGCCTAAGCAAAAACACCTACCTTAACAAAAACTTATTTTGTCGTTAATAAGACGCCTTGCTTATATTAAACAAAACACTTATTAGCACACATTTAAGCAAAACATTTATTAGCACACAAAATAATATATATAGTACCCTTCATTGCACTGATTAACTTATTCTACACTTAAATTGTGTACCATATGTAGTAAATTACGTATTGAAAAGTTTTAGCCAAGCCGGCGGGAATCGAGATACATGAACGCCTCGCCACTGGCACCCTACAACCCGTAGCTAACAGAATCTTAAACGCAAATAGCGTACCATGCATAGAAATTGGCGTCAATTTACACTTATTAATTAATAACTATTAACTTATGCGACTGTTAATTTAAGTTTATACGGCGAACGGCTATGGAGTGGAAATCCCTGCCTGCAGACTTGTTCCCTGAACGGTATCACTTGGGCTTTTTCGAGGCGAGAGTGAATAGGCATTAATTATGTGTGCATTTCCATCGTCGACCTCATTTTTTTTTTTTAAATAACTTTTTAGAGTGTAGACTGGAGGTGATTTCGTCGGAAACATTATTAGCGACGTCTAACGTTTGCGACGACATCATTAATTCCACCCGTCACAAATTAGTTGCAATTACCTGCCCAGAGCCGCAGATCAAGTTACAACTGGCTAACAAGCAAATTTGATACACTGATTGGATCTATTATCTAATTAAAAAAACTTATTTCACCGCTGACCGGTAAATTTTTTCTCATAACATCTAGTAAATACATATACCTACACTCTATTTGTGACTACTACGGAATTATCTTAATAATTACAAATTTAACTTAATTTAAATTTTAACAGATGCGCTGTCCACACTCGATATGATGAAAGGTCAAAAGGTGGGTGTAAAATCAATCGCGTATTGGTTTCAAGCCAATATATCTGTGCCTCTACCATGAGTTGCCATAGTAACGTAAATTGAGTTCAAAGATACTTTTACAAATGAACTAAATGACTCCGCATCCTTTACATTTGGGAGCAGTTTGTTATAGATTTGCACTCCTTCATAACCTATCGTCCTCTTGCCGTAGTTAGTTCTGATCTTGAGCAGGATTAGTTGATTGTTTGTGCGTAGACATGAGCGCCGATAATAGACCAACCGGCGGCGGTGCGCCGACAAAAAAGTGTCGGCGGCGGCGGCGTTTCGGCGTTTCGTTACGTTTTGAAAAACCGTTACAAATACTTTTTCAAAGGAAAAAATAAAATAACGTATTTTCTATAGTAATCAAATTTTTATCAGTTCGATCAGGCGCTCCGATCTTACGCACGCGCACGCTTCCATAATGTGTATGCGTAATGAAAATGGCGACGCCAGAAATTGACAAATTAATTTTTAAACAAAACATCTTTAAATATAAAGTCACTAACTAACTTTTCTCGCCTATCTATGTCACATCTGCTGAGGCCGGACTGCACGCTGGCCTACATTGCAGAAGACAAGGCAAATCTTTTTGCCACTTTCTTTGCAAAGAGTTCGCATCTGGATCTAATTTTTCCTCAGGCTGGCTGCACTATGGCGCCAGTTCAAATACGCCAAAAAGAGGTACTTTGAACTCTGCGGAATCTAGAGGTGAATAAAGCTAACGGGCCAGATAGAATTCCAGCACTAGTCCTACGTAACTGTGCGCCTGAGTTGTCTCCTGTTCTCACAAGCCTACTCCTGTACCGCCACTCACTTGAGACTGGTGTAGTTTCCAGGTCGTGGAAGCTTGCAAACGTGCAACCTGTGCCGAAAAAGGGAAGCAGCTGACTCTGATAACTATAGACCTATCTCAGTCACTTCCATACTCTGCAAGACTATAGAACGTGTACTCAACAACCGTCTCTTGTCGTACCTTGTAGACAACGACCTCCTCAGTGATCGCCAGTACGGATTCCGAACAGGCGATTACTGGTATGTGTATGCCTGTCATTTATAGAGCGAGGTCATAGAAAAGCAAGGTGAAGCACTTGCAGTGTTTTTGGATATTTTTAAAGCCTTTGACATGGTCTGGAACGCAAACCTTTTAAGTAAGCTTCCCTTTTATGGGCTTCTCACTTTGCAATTGGATCTCGGATTTCTTGAGCGATAGTTCGATTCGAGAGGTATTAGAAGGCTACTCTTCCGAACATATGGCGATAGATTCCTCAGGGTTCCGTACTGTCCGCAACTGTGTCTAATCTCCACAAAACGGAGTTCCTTTGAGCTGACCCCGACCTTTCGTGATATATCCATACCGATAGCCGACTGTCTCCAGCTACCTAATGGACCTGTCGTCCAATTTGTACTTCCGCAGATACGTTGAATCCATGACCAAACATGCAGCAAGGAAGCTTGGGATCCTTTCCGGGGTGAGGCGTTACTTCACACCGGGACAAGCACCATATCTTTCTACATTAGTTTTGATTATAGTGACCCTAACTACACTTAGGGCATACGAGAAGGACCCTATAACCTATGCACTCACAAGTTATAGGGTTCTTCGAGAGGCTTGTGCCTTGAGTGAGCCACCCTGGGTGCTCGTACAGTACCCTACCTATTTTCCAGATAGGTACCGCAGCAAAATTCAAAAATTTCTTAGAAATTTCAATCTTTATTTCATAGGTAAGCACACTTGAAATCGCTGCAATGGTTAAACTCTACCGCTCATTCGTAAGGCAGATTCCGCTGTGAAGAATGAGCAAGAAACTCTAGGAGTTGCTCTTTGTAAATAACATTTGTACACATTCAACATTACAATATATTTTTTTTTATTTGAAACTTCAAGCTAGGAGCTGTAGGCACGCTCACTTCCCGACACCGAAAAACGACGTCTCTCCAGTTCCCAATAACCTAAGCGGCTGGAGGGACTGGAGGATATCTAGCTTATCCTCTACTAACTCTCCGGGCTAGTGCCGGGCATGCCAGTCGCAGTGTCCTGCAAGTCCATATCCAAGTCCGGGTCCGCCACAGACGCCCGCAAAGGCATATCACTGGCGGAGAGCTTCGCCCGGACGCCCGCTGTACCCCGGTCTTGCCGTCGAGCCCGTAGTCTCTACGGAAAAGCCTATCTCTCGGGTCAGTAGATAGGGACACACACCGGGACAGTTGCTTCAGCTGTACCAATCACGTCGTGCTTGAAGTACTGCTGCCACTTTTAGGATAGCTCTGCTACATATCAACTGACCACCTTGGATTCAATTGACAACCGTGGCAAGAAGCTTATAGGTGACTCGGTATTAGTGGAGGTGAAGCTGAAGAGCCTTAGACACCGCCGTAAAGTTGCCAGCTTATCGGAATTTTACAGGATATATCACGGAGAGTGTGCGATGGAACTATTTAATTACACTATTTAATTCCGCTTTCCGCTATGTTGTGGATATTCCAAAGATTCGCACGAAACGTTACGGTTCCACATTTATATGGCGAACGGCTATGGAGTGGAATTCCCTGCCTGCAGACTTGCTCCCTGAACGTTATAACTTGGGAGTTTTCATGGCGAAAGTGAATAGGCATTCATCCATCGTCGACCTCATCGTCACTTTCCATAGGGTGAGATGGAGATCAAATGCTAACTTACATTTTATTAAAAAAAATAAGTTTTATCTTAGAAAAGTCTTTTTCTGGCGTCGCCCTTTTCACACACGATCGGAGCGCCTGATCGAACTGAACAGCGCGCCGATTGCATTTGTCGGCGGCGCGAGGAAAAACGTTTAAATTTTAAATTTGAACTGTTTCATATTCCTTCACTTTCTCATTTTGTTTTCGTACCACGGTCACTCCCAGCTCGACCGCCACAACAGTCGGAGCTGTTTCAAATTCCATCGCGAATAATCGCTAATTTTGGTTCTTTACTACGTTTATAATCATTAAATAAGCTAAATCATGTGTAATAATTTATAAGTCTACAGCCTTCGTGTACCTATATCTGTAATTCAGTTTCTCGGCCCATTTAGGGCCCTCTCTTTACTTCTTTAATAAATTTTTTGGACCGGAAGTTTCCTCTTTCATTGCCGTGACAGGTTCACGGTTCAGGTTCACTGCTAGTTAGAGTTACAACCCTTTCAGCACAAAGATACGACTGTGTGAGGATGACAAGCGATGTTGCGCACTGCCACCGCACGGAACTTTCCTCAATTATACATCACCGAGAAACAAGCCTCCGCCCCACCACCACCCTGTACCTCATCGTAATCCCGCTAAGCAACACGTACCACTTTCGTCTGCGACTTGTGTGAATTGCACACGTAATTGAAAGTTCGGAAATGCACCTGCCCGAGCCTATCTAATCGCAATCTCATTGTCGTTGCTTACTTTGTTCCAAGAGTCTATTTGCGAGGACTATTTATTTACACTACCATACGGTCGCAAATATTTCACTACAGAACTTTTAAAGCAAAACGTGTTATTGTACAGAAAAATCTAAAAAGCGTAGGTTGAGCGAATATGTTTACCAATCCATCCAACACCTGCTCGTTCTGTTCAAAACTAAAAGGTTAACTTACATACAAAATTCTCTTCCTATACTTCAGAAGTTTAAACCTAATGTATTTTTAAGTCGCTTGTTTGTTTTACCTTTTTCTTGGAACACTACTACAAATGTAAGTTTGTTGGGAGAGCACCTACTAAAAGGCGAACCTCGTTGCGAAAGAACAGAAATATAGACGTGTCAGTGAAAAATTGAATTTTTTTATATTCAAACGACCTATTACTAAGAACTGAGGTAGGTATTGCAATGCATATTTTAACCAAGCACAACGTACAAAGATATTTAAAAATTTTGCAGGCAGCGAAGAGGCGATTGACGGTGGAGTAACGCTGGCACTGGCGCTGTGGACACGGGCACAAGCGCTGCACCACGCCGGGTACGCGCGCGCCGCACTCGCAGACTTGAAGCTCGCATTGAAGGAGCGGCTGCCCGCACGCATGCGCCCGCAATACTACTGGCACATGGGACACTGCTATAAAGGTAAAAGTAGTACCAATCATGTACAAGTATATTCTCGATACCTCCAATGAACACTACACCAACTTTTCTTTATTTTTGTACATTTTTCGTTTTTGCTTTTTTTTCGAATTTTGTTTTTTGTTTCTTTTTTTTCACAAAATTCGGGCAGCTTAATATATATTGGTAAGTAAAATAAGGCTAATGTAAACACATTAAAAATAGAAAATGATCAAAAACTTAAGTTGGCATAGTGTTCATTGGAGGTATCGTTCTATTCTATACCGCTCTCTATTCATTCTCATAAAGTGGCTTGGGTCCTTAAGTGGTAAACCCACAGTGGCACTAGAGTTAATATAAGGAGAGAATCATTCGTGTTCAGGGGGAATGTCTTAGTTATCATATCAGCGTTAATGTTATTCAGGAATTACAGCGTTAAAAATAAGAAGGTTTTGTTATGTACGTAAAGTACGATTTATATACTTACAGAGATTATGAAACAAAACAAATATAATATGTACTAAATTATGAAGACTAAAAAAACAAAATTGAAATAACATAAATAACAAAAAGAAAATATTTCCCCAAAAACGAGACCAATGAAACTTGAATGTGACAAAAGACAAAAATTAATAAGGTTATTTATACTAATATATAAATTTGTAGCAGCATTAGATCCAGTAAAACTGTCATGAATCTGCACTACCTACCGGAATTTAATTTTTTAAATATAAACTTTTTGGTCGTTATTATCGTAGAAGCTTGTAGCGAAAATTGTTATAATAAAAGTAGATGCAGCCAAAATATTGTAATGTACCAACTCGTTACAGCATTCTTGCGACGACAGTCACAGAAGTAATAGCAATTTGCAATTGCGAGCTTTCTATTTATATAACAAATATCGCAGTACTGAGAAAACAGAAAAAGAAGGTCATCTTAATATCAGTGGAATGTTAAAAAGTTTCCATCAAAGAATGAAACAGCAATTTGTGACGACACTACAAAGAATTCTGAGTGTTTTGAATAATTATTATTTGATGACGGTTATTTGATGTCCTTCAACTTTGTAATATACTATTACGACATAGATAAATTACGAAGGGCAATAAAAAAATTTAAATGGTGTATACCAATTTACGAGGAATAACGATTTGTATAAAATTTTATGGTCATCTTTCAACATGTTTTTTTTTAATTTATTGTTTCTATTTGTTCATGTCAATCATTCCCAGAAAGAAAAGACAATCAACCCATTTATAAGTCCCACCGCTGGGCACGGGTCTCCTCTCAGGCTGGGGTTTAGGCCATAGTCCGCTACGCTGGCCCAGTGCGGGTTGGGGACTTCACACGTTTTGCGAGTGTTGTGAACCCTCTTCAATGTGCAGGATTCAACACGATGTCTTCCTTAACCGAAAAACTCATAGTAAATATTAAATTAAATTTCGGGAAACTCAGAGGTGTGAGCTTCGATTCGAAGCCACGGCCTCTGCTTGAGAGGCGGTAGGCCAATGGCAATCAGGTATATGTACATTATTTAAAATAATTTATAATTTAGTTACTATAGCCCAAAATGTATTTGTTCTCATCCAATTACAAAGTACTCGTATTTTAACAAAATCTTGAAATTTTAACAAAAGCTTGATCTACGGCAGTATGGAAAGTCAGAATAATTGTTTTAACTTTATACGTATACATTGATGGTGTATTCACCGGTACGAATACAACTTGTAAAATCATACGAAGGACGGAGAAATTCAATCTTACCGTCTTATTTCCATTTCCTGCTGGCTACGAGCGACGAGCCGTCACGAGCTGACGCGAGCCGAGCTCCGATTTCAAAACTCAATATAACCAACGGCATGTCAAATGTTTTTCGCAGAAGCGTATCAACATTGCCTCTCTGCCTAACTACTACACCTAGCTTTTGATGTAATTAATTTTTCAAGCGTTCTAGGTAGGCATATGTAACCTCCTTTGTAGGTGTCTATTTTATTTCGTACTTAATTCACGTAGAAAAGCTTTGCATTTAAATAGTACTGTGATGACCTGATGACTAATGAGTGATCGCAGTACGCGTAGGTAGAGCTATTTTTGCTATTTTCAACATGGTATCATAATATCCAAACATACCTGTTTTAACAAATTTATTAAACTGTCCTGGTTATTCGAATTATAATAATAATACATCATTAGGTGTTTAGTAAAGCTATTTATCTACTCCTGTACTTTAATCTGTTAATTATAATTTCATAAATCACTTAGGCGCTCTTTTTAGTTCTGAATCAAAATTCTATTGTCTGTTGTACTCGCTACTGAATCGAAAAATTTCATTATAGTTCTGTATTATATGTATAAAGAACAATAATGAGTTTCAAAAAAAAGATCGTCGTATTTTTGTAAATAAATAAGTATCCTTAGGGCGCATTTATTCGTCACAAATTTCATCGCGCTCACACCGTGCGGTCACCGCGTGGCGACGCGCGGAGACGCGCGGAGACCGCGTGCATCTAACTGTCATTGTAAAGTACGCTCTATTTATTTATCTTTTACGTTTTAAAATGAGCGTCCATTTGCGTGGGAGGGGCTGGCTTTTCTTTGGTGTACGCGGCAATCGAGGAATTTAAATGTTGTTCCCTAGTAAATAGAATTTAGAATCGCCATTAATGTACGTGAAAGCGTGGTAACTAGGCGATCGCCGCGCGGCGGCTGCGCGACAATTTTGGCGTCGTGTAATTGGGCGCTCACTGTGCTGAACACAATAACGTCACTATATTTGTTAAAATAATTATTAAAATTCCCATTATTTCATAAAGTAATATGTCAAAATTATGCATAACAAGAACAAAGGCTTACGCCTTAACTACTATTACATTATTGCAGAAGCCTTATACTAATACGAGTGAAGCAATTTCTGTTCCCGCCAAGGCATGTATAGCATATGTCTCAAACAATATGAGGAAAAAATAAAAGACTAAAGAGAGAATGATGTAATGTATAATAAAAAAAAGTGAAAAAAGTATTAATTAATAAGTATTAAATGTTGTAACACCACGGCCCAATAACTACAATTTTGTTACATCGCCTTACTACTAGATGGCACTGGGATCGAAATGGAACGCGCTATCAAAGTGTTCGCAGCAGGCATTTTTATCGAATACAGCATTTTGTAGTGTAGACCATTTTAGGGCCTCTATGACACCACCTAACTTGCTGACAAGCTGCATGAGACCCACAAGTGAACTTCCACTTGTGGGACTCTCCTGGGACTTGTTTCTACGTCTCTGCTTCCACTTGTGGCACAGTTTCGTAGCTGTGCATCACTACTTTTACTTGTGGGACAGTCGTAGCTGTATTGTCGTAGAGCATTTTTTGTAAAGCTGCCTGTACAGTTGTATTCTTAATAAACCGCATATTCATACTTGCCTTGTGTTGTTGTCTGTGCCTACCTCGGTCCGATTTATAACACTACAAAGTAATATTAGACGTGTCAGGACAATTGCTAAAAGAAAATGTTATTATTTTTCAGGCACATTAATAGCACAGTCTAACCAATAATTTAATAGTGTCTGCTGAACTTCTGATGATGTGTTTGAATATGTATCTATTACTGTATTTTCGTTGTCGCTCTTCTCACTAGCACTCATTTTCGCGACCTAAATACAAGAAAGACAAAAGAATTTCATTATTAGTAGGTAGATTTAAACGTTTAGAGAAGTGGAATTTATTGGATTTTCATACTTACTTTGCAGGCCTTAGCCGGAAAGAAGTCGCACAGTCTATAAATAACGAACTTTCCATGTTCGTTTTTTGAAAGTAATGCAAACATGAATGCTGAATTTCTGATGATGTTTTTCAATGTGTATCTATTACTGTATTTTCGTTAATGCTCTTCTCACTAGCAGTCATTCGCAACCAAAATACAAAAAAAAATTAAAAACAAAAGAATAACAATACACTTTCGTTTAAGGGTTTACCGCCATTTTCTTTATTTTAAGCATCGAGTATATAACCAGAAATAGAGACGAAATAAGGGCCATATATTCCTGGTAACACATTAGCGATAGAGCTCTTATAAATATCAACTGCCGTTTGCACTGAAATAGACAGGCCAACTATTGACCTGTGTGCACGTCTCCGTACATTCTAAAAAATATTCTGTATTTATTGTAATAAAGATAATATCTCTAACAATGCCGTGCTGTTTTATTCGGTGGTGTGGGAAAAACAGCAAAACATCTAATTACAAAACAACCGGAATCACATTTCATCGGTAATTAAATATTAAATATGTAATTTTGCAATTTTCGTCCATTATAGCAAAACTCAAGTTAAATGGTCGATTTGAAGTGAATCAGTTGACGACACCCATTGACGACTCCCGTCAATTTTTAAACAAAAAAGATTGCATAAAATAATTTGAAAAATGAGCGCGATTGCGATTTACCTAATTTTAATATATTTTATTTTTATTGTCTTTTGAATAAAATAGTAGATATGAATGTAATAGCCATATACGATTTTATTTATTTGAAAAGACAATAAAGTACGTAATCCTCGGTTGTGGGATCCTTGCTTACTGTCGCTGTGGACAAAATCGGGTGTGAAGCATCATTCAATCAATCAATGTCTGAAACCTTTTAACAATTATATCAAAAATCTTGGCTCTTTAAGTAGAGAAGCTAAGCTAAGTAGAGAAAAGCCAGACGGGTGCCGAGAAATATAGGTCCGTTCCTAATAATGTTTAATTACATAAACATCAGAAATAAGTTTTATAAAAAAAAAGTAAAATATTTATTTTGGTGTCGTTGACACAGCATACCTATGTAAGTTAAAATTAACCACCCGGAAACAATTGTGGCACTGTCGGAATCTCCATTATTTCCACCTGAAGTACTTATTATTAAATTATTCTGGTATGCTAGTTTTTTCGTCTATTATTTCTTCACTGAAAGAATCACAATGTATTGAATTGAAATAAATGGTAATAATTTTATTTGTACTTATATTGTTTCCTATACAAATAAAATTACGACTGTGTATTATATAATCTGACTTCCTGAAAAACCGTAGTTTTGTTCAATGGTATTCATAGTAATCTGTCTGTCTAGTATAGTAAAAAGTAATATAGTAAAAAGTCTGGTTCGGCTGTTTGTACTGTGGGCGCTGAATAATGAAGCCCGATTGGGTGCGATTGCCGGTAGGACCAATTCAGCAATAGAGTGTTTGCCGTAGCTCTGGTACTCATAGTTTCTACAGGAAATTACCTAGTTTGAGACCAGATAATTGGTGTGATTGGCTTGTACATTAATATACATATACATTACATTATAATCTTACTACGAAATATTTGACTATTTAGTCATTCATAATTGAGGCTGTCAATGCAAAAATCAAAATGTTTGGCTCTAGAGGCTTTAGAGCCTGAGTCCAATATAATTTTTTAATTGAAAACGGTGTGACTGTAACAGAGATACTTTTCATCCACCTCGCGTATGTAGGAAATGAAATTTTATTTATAATTGATTCAAATCAGTCTTGATTCCGGCGAATTAATGATCAAACGCTGGGAATTAGCAAAAACTAAAATATGCATTAAGGTCCTCGGGGGCGGAGGCCTAGAGTGTGCCAGAATTATTCATAATGCCATCAGTGCCGCGCGGCTTTCGCATTATTAACGTTGAACTGAAAAGCGCAAAGCTGAAACTCGGTATCACTTAATGAAATTATAATTCTAGTTTTAGTACATAATGTTAATTTCATAACTTTATTATACACAATAGAAGCATAAGTTATAGAGGTTGACTAAATTATTTTAATACTTTGTGCGTAATACGAATTTATACACCTCTATATCACGATTGAATTGTACCGAATTATAGTCAAGTAAATCCCAAGTACTTTAGATTTTAACACAACGATATTTATTTACTCTAACAAGAATTAGAAAGGACTTTTAACAGAATTCTGTTCGATGACCATGTGACTGTTCGAAAGAATCTAAAGAATTCCAATATGGTAGCGTGTCGATCATAGTGTATGCGGAGTTGAGCATAACGCGATATGCATGCACGTACAGAATCCACGCGTTGTATTTGTCGGACGGAATCAAATTCTGTTTGCGAGCATGTAAATTACTACAACTTACGTTGCCTCCACCCCACATGTTACTAAGTGAATTACATTAATTGCTGTCTACTAACTTCCGTAGGGAGTAGTGCCATTACGTGTAAGGTATTGTAATATATGCTACACATACGGGGTAAGCAGAAAACACTGGAAACACAACTCCTTTGTGTCAGTATCACAATATGCAAAGTAACCGTTGACCACTAACAGAACCCTATTATGGCGGTGATGTGGTCTGTGTAGCGGTGGGTACCTGACATAATGACGGTAACAAAACTCTTATTTTGTATGGTAATAAAAATATTGCAATCCTTAAACACACATACTTATATGAATATTGCTTTCAGACGTTGGTGAACTAACTAGGGCCAAAGTGTCGTATGAACTTGCTGGAAGGCTTTTAGCTGCTGACGAAGAGGCAAAATCGCAACTCAATAAAGACATAGAGAGTCTTCGCTACTGTGCCGCGCCGGCGCCACCAGTCCACAAACCAGGCAAATTATTGAAATTTATATTGTGGCACGACTGCGCATCTTCATCTTCATCAGCATCTTGTATGAGCAATTGTACTTTGTGAAGTAAATTAAAACTCATTTATTTCAGAAGTGACTGTAACAGGAGAAGCAAAACAAAACATGCCAGCATTATCGAAGTTAGTTAAAATAACAGAGGAAGAAGATAAGGTATTACATGTTGCAATCATTAGTAAATATAGACCATTCCGACAATTTTTTATAAAGTCTTTTTTGTTTAGGGTCGCTTCGCGGTGGCTAATTCCCGAGTCAAAACGGGGGACGTGTTGCTGGTGGACTCTCCTTACGCTGCTTGTCTCCTAACAGACTGCTACGGCACTCACTGTCTTCACTGTTTTAAAAGGTGTCATTAGTTTCTTTTTTTACTTTCTTCATTTGCTACAACATGTGCTAATTTTAATATAAAGTCATTGCTAACAATGACTTTACTCACAGGCTAGACGACTATCACGAAGAAGCACCTGTATGGTGTCCTAAATGTTCAAGGGTTGCTTTCTGCAGCATGGCGTGCCGCGACATAGCTGTCGTCACATATCACTCGTATGAGTGCCAATTCCTTGACCTTCTAATAGGTAAACTATAACGTTTCTCCTTTTTTGGATTTTGAGTTACGTACTTGAGTTACGCTTTTATTTTGCGTTTTTCCATTCAGGTTCTGGAATGTCAATATTGAGTCATATAGCCTTGCGAATGGTTACACAAGCAGGACTTGCTACAAGTCTATCGATACATTCTAAATACTTGTCGAACAACGAGAAGACAGTAGAAGGTGTCGTGTTAAATGACATTGAAGGAGTGACCAAAAAGTCAAAAATTAAAAGCAGAAAGGAAAGGCTGAATCGAGCAAAGAAAGGCCTGAAAACATTGAACGACAAGAATGTCAAGGACGATAATATGAATGCAAAGGAGGAAGAAATTAATAAGATCGATGATAAAATGACCTTTGAAGAAAAGCTGGAACTGAGGGCAGCAGAGATCTATTCGCTGTGCACGCACTCCGAGCAACGAAAAGGTGCCGACTATTTGAAGAGGATAGTAATGGGGATGTTTTTAACAGAATGCTTACGAAAAGCAGGTATATTTAAGAAATGCGAAAAGGATAATCTTGAGATAGGTATTTTCTGATGATTTATGTTTAATTTGGAACACTATTCGATGTAATTTGACATGTGAGAGCAAAACTTTTTACGTTTCCCAGAGGAGATGGCGATATGCGAGTTGTTAGTCCGGAACCTACAGTTGCTGCAGTTCAACGCGCACGAGATCTACGAGACGCTCCGCGGAACGCACCAGTTTGCTGGCTCTAAACCCTTGTACATCGCCGTAGGCATATACCCCACCGGTGCGCTTTTTAACCATGAATGTTATCCTGCCGTGGCCAGGTAAGAAAAGTTATAGAATTTTTTCCAAACTAAAATTTGAAATTTTAAACACTTTTATCCTATGTCATAGATACTTCGAAGGCCGTAAAATTGTACTTCGAGCTATCCGACCTTTGGAGCCCGGAGACGTCATATCCGAGAACTACGGTCCGCATTTCATGGTGCGAACGCTTAAGGAGCGGCAGCGCTCTCTCGCCTCGCGGTATTGGTTCCGCTGTGCATGCGTCGCTTGCTGTGAGGACTGGCCTATGCTCAAGCAAATGGCCAGCGATGCACCGCCATATGTAAGGTAATCATTCTTCTACAATTAGGTGCCCATAAAGATAGCTAAAACAACGAGCGAACTGCAAGTATTCCGTAACGTAATTCGGTTTCCTTGCACCCCTGAGAAACTACCAAAGATATAAACTGTGACAATATTCATTATTTTATATGTAAATCTAACTCGTCGAAAACTATTTCAAGATTATACTTAACGTATGAAGTTATCGCTCACGTGTCACTGCTTTACCCACCTTTTGGCTTAGCTATAGTCGAGTAAACAACGGTTGCTTTGTTTCAGATGTCCTAACTTATCATGTTCAGCCAAATTTAAAGCCTCACCGCAGAATGTGCCCAACCGTTGCGCACGGTGCGCCGTTAACATGGACATACAACTTGTCAAGGTATTCGTGGAAACAGTTGACAGATGTGTAAAACTATACCAGGTGAGCACGACAATCATCCGTTAAGTATTTGCCATCCCGTCAGCACACACAATTCGAGACACCGTGCATTTTTATTTTTAAAAGCTTGAATACAAAATTATTGTTATCATTTGGTAGGTCAATATTTATTATCGAAGAAAAAGTTTTCCCCGGTTTTACAAACTAAAATTTTCAAGAAGGATAATATTGCATAATAGTTTTTGGTCAATTAAACATTTTTATGCTTAGTGCATTTAATACTGAAAATGCAAGGTGGCTCGAATTATGTGTCCGGGAGTAAATACACTATCCACAAAAACTCGTTCGCACACAAACTATTTACAACACAAACATCATTAACCTTATAGCGGTCACCCTCGGACTAATGCCTAATTTCCGTGGCAAGTTTTGTTATCTAAGTATTACATTTTTTATCGTGCAATATTATTTAATATTCGAGTATTGTATCGTGAAATATTATTTAATAATTACACATTATATACTTGAATATTATAAATAATAAACATTTTCACGGAAATTAGGTATTGAACACTAGTCCGAGAGTGACCGTAACGGTCGTCGTCGTCGCGTGGAAACGACGACCAACCCATTCACAGGCCGACCGCTCTTCTCCATGACGGGTCAGTCGAGGCCTGCCTTCGACGCGTAGCACAAGTTGCATCTACCGCTTTTTATTGTTAAGCATACGCTTTTTATAGTTCCGCATACGCTGTCCCTATCTACTGACCTGAGAGACAGCGTGTTCCGGAGAGACTTTGGCCCGTCGGCAAGACCAGGGTACTGCGGGCATCCGAACCAAACCCGATGTCAGTAGAACCACGACACAAATTTGATGAACGAATATGGTTGGAAACACAGACCACATTTCTTCCGTGGTTGGAAAACTAGGAACGATTTTTACTTGGGCGTATATATTTGAACCAGTTGATGATCAGTTTTAAAAAACTAAGTTAAAACTAAGTAAGAAGAATAAACGGGTGTGTATGAAAATATTTGTGTTTAGGAAGAGCGAAGACAGAAGTGAAAGAGATGTAATTGATATAACGAAATGTGGCATGAGAGTATCGATGTGGGTATGTCTGTAAATGCTTATGTGCATACTTAAGTATGCGTTCTTTAGAACAATATACCTACAGGAAGTCGAACTGAGAGTAATTGAGTAAAATTTCACCATTACACTCCAAAACGATATTAAAACGACAGAACTAACGGACCAACATGCGTATAAAACTCTGAAAGACAATTGTTATCATCAGCATCAAAGCCATTCCCGCAAAAGGCTTGATAGTGTGCTGGAATTAAATCGTTATTGCAGACATTGATAAAGGGGGATACTACCTCTCATTTTGGTAGGAGTAGCGTCGAGAGGGAATATTTTTTCCCATGCCTCTGATTAAGACGCTAACAATCGTCGATGACCTTGAGCGATAACGCGCCTTCTTTAATTTCTCCAATAAGGTAGCGCCATACGCCCCGATGCGGTAAAAGTGTGGTAGTTGGACCTTCCGCTTCATTTAACATAATATTGATTGCCGCTAACAGATGGCGTTGTACTTAAAATATACACATGTTATCAAACCAAAAAATATTAAAGCATATAAGAACTGGACATGTTATGCAAACAACACAACAAACAACCCACACCTCGAATGAAATTAAGTTATGTATTTAGGTAGAACACCAGACGTGTCCTTTACCCGCTCACAAAAGATCTTGGCAACATACCAAGCCAAAACGGAATAAATAAAAACCCTTCAGGGTACCAACCCTAAGTAAGTAACTTTTTAATAGCTAAAGAGAACCTTGCTGCTTAACTTCATATAATGTCTTTTTTTAAATATGCTAAACGGATTCATGTCACATGTACTGAAATACTGTATTTTTGGCGTTTTCATTACGAAAACTAGAATATGGTTCTCGTTAACTAAATAAAAAGACACATAATGTTTTCTATTTATTGCCCTATAATATAATAGTTTCCTTAAATCGTTCTCACTGCTACAGTACATCGTTTGTCTCAAACAGAGATGCGCCGAGTACAAGTTTAACCAAGTAACCGAGTACCGAATATTACTCGGTTTAACATTTGCCGAGCCGAGTACTTGGCCAAGTTACTCAGTTCATTACAACCGGAACGCGATAATCTTAAAAGCCCTCAGTTGCTCTAGAATTAGGCCGATATGTCAATGAAAGTTTATTGTCGCGAGAGCAAAGTCCTTTCCAATGGTGGGCAGAGCATAAAACAAAATATCCAAACCTGGCAAAGTTAGCATGAGTGTTTTTATGTGCACCTGCAAGCACTGTGTATAGCGAGCGGTAATTTGCCGAAGCGGGTAATGTGTATGAAGAAAAAAGGAACAGACTATTACCTGAACGCGCAGAAAGCCTTGTAAATATTCTTACATCATAACTTGCCTTTGTAAAATTTTAAATATTAATAATATAAACTTTCTTTTTAAATTACTAAATTGCTAGAAATTGTCTACAATTTCTAGTAATAAATCTCTTTTGAATATTTTAAATATATTGTTGATTTTACTTTATTATGTCAATAGCTGTGATGCTTTATTTTAACCGAGTACTCTTCTCATGAGTTATTCGGCCGAGTACACCGAGTACGTACAAACGAGTACTGGGCGCATCTCTAGTCACAAATAACTTACCTATTTATTTCTTCACACTGTTTTTACAAAAATCTAATTATCTCGAAAGTGACATTTTGTGGGTTGGTTATAGTTTACATAACCATGTCCAACTACATATCTCGTCAGTATCGTGCTCGACGGTAGACAGCCGATTACAATAATACAATATAAAGCAATTTGTCAAAATGTCAAAACAGAGGTCTGGCAACGTATCCCACGAACGCAAGCTACGCAGCAGAACTTAGTGCGCGCGGAACTAGCTGGCCGCGCCTTAGGTATGTGAGCGGTGGGACGGGGAGGCGGGGGCACTTGATGTCATTACTCAGAATACTCAGTTCGGCGCCGGACTTCGCGGCGGCAACACACGTTGACAGTTCTGGCTAGTTTAGACAAAACGCACAAGAGATTGCAATGTCAAGATGAGTCCGCCGATAAAAAGACAATCTAAGGAAATAATATTTAAAGTGCATACGTTTTTTAAAAAACGGAAAGCCGATGTCAATAGTTTAGAATATAAAACTGATGCGAATATTCATAAATTAGTGGCAGAAGCAACCGGGATATCAGAACGAAGTGTAAGGAGAGTGATTGCTCAAAGTAAAACATCCTTGCAAAATACAGGGGAAGCAAAATTTAGTTCTCCACGAAGGCCAAAAGAGATAAAAAAGAAAATACAAGTTGATGATTTTGATTTAGGAGTGATAAGAAGAAAAATAAATCAGTTTTATACGGTACAGAAAACAAATCCAAGTCTACGAAAACTAAATGCTGTGTTAAAAGAGGATAATATTTTAGATTGCGGATTAACTTATTTAAGAGAACTTTTGCACAAACTGGAATATTCATTTAAAAAATGTAAATCGAAGAGATCCCTTTTATTAGAGAGACCAAACATTGTTGAATGGCGAGTGAAATATTTGAGGGCCATAAGAAAATTCAGAGAAGACAAACGAAATATATTCTTTTTGGACGAAACTTACGTTAACCAAAGTCATAATGTCCAAAAATGTTGGCAATCTTCGTCGGAGCCTGGTGTTTATGCAGATATAGGCAAAGGAAGGCGTTTAATAATAGTTCACGCTGGTAGTCGGAACGGGTTAGTTGACGATGCTCTGCTAATTTTTAAATCAGATTCAAAAACAGGAGACTATCATGGAGACATGAACTCTACAAATTTTTACAACTGGGTTGATCGAAAGTTAATACCTAAACTTCCACCTAACTCAGTCATAGTTATAGACAATGCAGCTTACCACTGTGTGCAAGTTGAGAAGAAACCGACTATGTCCTGTATGAAAATTAATATGCAGAATTGGTTGCAAAATCATAACGTGCCCTTTTCTCCCACGATGGTCAAAGCTGAACTCTTGGGCTTGATTAATACGACCCAATCAGAAAAAATATACACGATTGATGAACTTCTGAAAGGTGCAGGTCATACTGTTCTAAGACTACCTCCATATCATCCAGATCTCAACCCAATCGAGCTTGTGTGGGCAAATATAAAAAATTGCCTGGCCAGAGATCACATTAATGCTACATTGGACGAGAAAATTACAATACTAACAAGACTATTTTCTGAATTTTCTGCCGAACAATGGCAAAAATGCGACGACCACGTACAAAAAAACGAACAAGAATACTGGAATCATGATATGAGATATGATACTGTGATGGACGAATTCATTATAAACTTACAAGATGATTCTGACTCAAGTTCAGACAATTCAGAATCAAGTGATTCAGAGGATAATATGTCAGAGTAATTTCATATCTATAAATACAAAGTCGTGTTAGTTACACTAATTAATTAATAATAATTTCATAAATGATTCAAATATGTCGGAAGAATTTCATTTAATTTGTTTTTGGTTTATTTTACTTTTAATTGCAATGTACGGACAACAGCAAGTCCATCAATACATAAATGTCAAATTTATCCAATCAATTTTATACTCTATTCCCTGGACTTTAAGTTGAAAATCAATTGAGGAAATCTGACAGTTTGTGGCGGCCTGATGTGCTGCCGACTGTACATTGCAATTAATTAGATAGTATAATATAAACTTGTAAAAGTTCAATTGGCTTTAATTTTTTCTTTTCAATAACTGAACAATTATTGTTCACGATATCTCGAGATTGGTCGTCACTGTCTAATCTCATGTGCGTTGCGAGCAGCAAGCAACCCGCCCCCTCACCCCTGTCCCTACCTAAGGCGCGGCCAGCTAGTTCCGCGCGCAACAATAATTTCATTTTTGGTTTGAATACTTTGTATTTTAGGTTCTAATCCAACCAAAAATATATTTTTTTTATTCTCACCTAATGGCAAAATTTGACTTTTTTTTTAATATTTTGTTTTGATTTCAAGGAATTGTTGCATTATATTTACTTATTTACGTATTTTTTTGTGTATGATATTTTTTCACACTGTTAAGTGCCTGTCCATAATTTGCAAGCAAATTGTTAGCTCGTACTTTAGTATGCGAAAGTTACTTTATACTCCTAAATTTGTTATTTGTCTTTTATTTAAAACAAATAAAGTGTCAGAATCAAGATAAGTACCATTTAAATAACCACATCAAATTTGGTAGTAAGCAAGTTTGGTTTGCCCGAGAAAAATATGTCAAAAACTAACCACCAGAGTCTCACTGTAATCCAGTTTTTGTATTACCTATGACAGTAAGCAATATTCTAGGAACTTCAAGGTACACTCCAAGATACGTGTTACAGGATGTACTATTTTCAAAGCTCCACGTGTTTTGTTATCGCCTAAAAACTTACACAAAAACACCATATTTAAGCGATTTTGGGCACCTCATCGCCTTAAATAAAAATAAATATTAGACAACATTACATACGTGGCTCCAATCCGAAATTAAGTAACTAAAGCACTTACGTTATGGAAATCGAAAAACAACGACGGTACCACAAAGATCCATACCCGAGAGAAAACACAAAAGTTAGACTTTCTAGATTGACTCGGCAGGGGATCGAATTCGGGACCTCAAAGTCGACGACATCATAAAAACCGGTGCGCAAGCCGCTCGATCAGGGAAGTCGGCATTATTGAGCATGAATTGTACATAGTCTAGTGGAAAATATAATGATTATTTGTTCATCATTATATTCAATTATTTTAGTATAAGTTAATTAAACAAATTTCAATAACTAATTGAAAGAAACCATTTAAACTACCCGTCGAACTATGCTAAGGATAAAGAATTCCGCTTTGTTGGAAACTGTCACCGAAAAATAATCACTTCTTGACTATTTACTACTCGCAAACTAAATAACCTCTACGTAAGAAATTGAAGGTTAATAGATTCACACGACTAACTGTCCGTGGCAGTTGCAGTGCCACTCAGAACTTTAAATCGCAAAGATCTGAGGAACACTGCCACTACGCCTGTCACTGCCTGCCTATTATTTCATCAGTACTCTTATCGCTCAAATCCGGAACGCAATGCTCACAATACCTTGGCGGCAAAAATAGGTTTACTCCTGACCCTTACGATGTAGAGGCGTTTAGAGGGAATTTTTGTGGTGGTGTGTGATTGTAGTTGCGCTTGTGTTGTATTCTAGTAACTTTTTGAGGTGGGCGGGTGAGAAAATTAACTGCATGAAAATAATATTCAATACAAGCTTAGCTTTGCACGATCTAGCCTTCATTAGAATTGAGAGATTGAATTCCAAATATGGTGTTACGCAAGGCTAAGATATCGTCGATCTCTCATTTAAGTTTTATGAAGTTAACCGTTTTGAATTTCGACAGCAACCTTCACATTTTGATTCAAATCCGTTTGTGTAGGAAGGAGCACAACTGATGGACGAAGAGCGTTCAGAGGAGGCCATCGCCGCGATTTGCGCAGGCATTGACGAATTTCACGAAGCAGGCTGCGCCCCGCATCGCGATACACACCTGGCACAGGAGGCGCTGCGTTCATGCTTCGCCGCCTTTGGCAACGTGCACCGCGTCTTTGTTGCCCACGCCGACGAAAAACCTGACGCCAACGCGGAACACGAACGAAGTGCATTGGCGACGCAGCAACAAGTGTGACTGCCACAACAGCCTTTTTTAGATACCAAGTGACGGGATGAACAAGTCGTGGTGGTAAGCGACACGCCTGTCCGTAACAGGTGCAGTGCCACTCAAGAGCATTAAATCCCAATGATCTGAGAGGCACTGCCACTGCGCCCGTCACCCTGCGACATAAGTTGACAAGTCCCATGTACTTGTAATTTCACCACCACAGTCTATGATGAGTAATTCAAAGATGTAGCCACAAAAATATACAAATTTTTCTGTGGTGCCTGGTGACATATGTTATACATTATCTAGTTTAGTGAAAAAAAGACGAATTTTTATTTAGAAATTGTTCTTGTTCATTGTATTATAATTGTAATAATTTTGTACAGTATGCAAGATAATGAATATCAAATTATGCTACATGTATCTTTCATTGCGCTAATGATCGTGTATCACAGTATCAAGCTTAACTAAAAAAATCATAAAGTTATCAGTAACCTCACAGCAGGCGATGCCACTCCGGTAACATAGGTAATGTGCCACAACCCTTCACCGGTACATTTGAACGCGATATAAACAGATTGATTTTTGTGTAAAAGAAGCGACCGGCAACTCCGTACAACAATCGAGAGCGAAATTAAAATAACGTTAGTTGGTAAAATAATGCCCAATAAAAACTCAAACAATTAAATATTAATTGTTATTTGTTATCATCATTCTGTTCTGTACATAGACATGCCAAAAATTTTGTTTAATGAGCTATAATCCTAGAGTTTTGAACCATCACAGGCCAACATGCTAAAAGATAATGTTTGTCTGTAGAAAGCACGTTAGCTATTCGAGACGCGTTCATCTTCCAACTTGGGCTCACAATCCCAAAAAATTGATTAAGAATACAATTTATGTTATGTCTAGCCGTGATATTTGCAGTTTGTAGTCCACAGTTTAGTTGTACCACAGTGCCGAGACTTATAAGTTCTACAGATTTGATGGGCCGAGGTGATGCGCGACGGCTCGAATACACATTCCAGTATTTCCACAATGACAAAGATGAAAGAAAAAACACGCATGCATTTTGTACAAAAAAGAAAATTTCTATCCCTATAACTCCCGTAACGCGGTCAAAGAGCAAATAAGAAACAAATTAAAGGTGGTTCAGTTTGTCGGTCGTCAAGGATCTTGGAACATGGTCTTGCAGAGGCATTCGGTCTCATTGGGGTCGGCGTCTCCGTCGCCCGTGCTTGAGGTGGCGTGCCGCAGCGTTTGTACTTGCGTCGTCAGACCCATGATGCGAAGCTGTGCCTGCTCAAAGTTCTCGTTCAACCTCTTTATTTGACACGACATGCGGCATTGCAACTGAAACAACCCTCTCATTAGTTCCTAAATCTAAAAACAGTAATAATAAAACAAATTAAAATGTCCTCACTTGTTCGCGTTCTTTCTCTGCGTTTCTCACTTGAGCTCTAGACGCTGCTAATTGTCTTTCTAACTCCGCCACGGTAGTTTGGAGACACCTGTTGAATCCGAATACATAATGATTTCAATAATAGGTACCATTATTAAGAAAATCAGTTTAATCACACATCATATTTTTAGCGATCGATCATTTTGCATTGATGCTATATGGCTTCTGGCTCTCGGTGTGATTGAACTGATATTTTGCTTTTAGGGGTTGCACCGCATTCGATATGTAGAGGTGAGAACAGAAATCATTGTTATGGGCGTAAGGTAGGCATATCTGGACAACTGCGACGCCTGACCTTAGAATGTGTGAGCAAACCGTTCAATTACAGTGACGACCTTTCGAACAGCGACAAAGTTACTGATACTACAAGTAGAATGTAATCAATGAGTTATTCCTATGACTGACTTCTTGTTAGTCTCCAGACGCTCGTTGGCACGCTGCAAAGCACGCGCAGCTTCATCGCGTGAGCGGTCCAACTCGCCGCCCAGTTGCGCGCATTCGTGCATTTTCTCCTGCAGCCGCTTCTCGTTCACTAATACAGCTTCCTCCATGCGTATGACATTGGCTCTGAAGAAATGCATTTTAAAAGTTAGAACCGTATTTTCGGAAGAGATTTGTTTCCGAGAAAAAATTTTCGAGATACATACTTGAGTCTTTCGATCTCTGCTTTCAACGCCAAGTTGCTCTCCGTGAGCTGCGAAACGCGTTGGTTCAATTGCGTTATCTGCTTCTCATCGGGGTTACGTTCTGCAGGCTTCTCAGGCGGCTTCACGCTATTGTGTAGCAGCATATGCACCTAATTAGAGAAACAAATGCTTGAGTACACAATATTTTAATCAGTTTTCACACATATGACATACTGATGAAAATATATAAGATGCTACTGCTGTTATCATAATCACGCCTTACCTATAATACGATCGATAAGTCAAATAAAATCAATGCGCGACAAAAACAAACAACATGCTGCAATCAATGAATTTTCAACTACCCCTGACAAATACATTACACTTACAAATACCCAACTGACAAATACATTACACTTACAAATACGTCTAGAACTACGGCTAAAATGATTGGCACATTATCATCGTCCTCATCCTAAACCCTAAGAATATAATGTGTGCATTATTATCACCTTCTCGCGCGCAACATTAAGCTCCCTCGCGAGCTGCTCAGCGTTGTGCTCGGCGATGGCCTGCGCTTGCTGCGAGTCTTTTAACCGCATCTGTGTCGACTTAAGCAAATCCGGAATCGGGGCTAACTCTTGTAACTTTTCTTGGAACTTAAGCTGTGTACACAATTTGGATAATCAGACTTCTTAAGCACAAACAAAGCTATCAATACACGAGCTGGCGTTTGGGTAGTCAGATTACGTAAATATAAATAAGGCTAATAATATACGAGCATGTACTTAAGTATAACCAGCATCAACTTTATTACCCGGAGGAGAAAAACTTGTAAAGCATTATATATAATACCTTGACCCGTTGAATCTCGAGATTGATCTGCTCACTGATCCTAGTGTTATCCATGTCCATTAGTTCTATTTGCCGTTTCTGCTCTTCAACTAACTGTTGCGCTTGCATGTACTGTGCACCACAAAAACAATTCAATTCTTTTAAGAGTTTACGGTTGATAGAATTGAGTGCAAGAAGAAAATTTAAGTCAATCCAAAATGGGTTAAGGGCATTATGGTAAGGGGATAATGATAATTTTATGTCAGAAATAATAAGTTAGTTGCATATACAAGATGTACACACATCAAAAAAAGTTTGCGATCACTTCGAAAAACTGAAATCTTTTCTGTTACTGTAGATTATGTTATGATTTTTTCTTCTTTTTAGATTCTTTATTTAAAAATAAATTAGAACATAAAACAATGACCCCGTTCAATTGTTTTTTCATATAAAAAGGCTTTCAGTCCTAGCTTACGCTCATTCAGAAATCTGATTTAGTCAATTATAAGCGATTCAAGATATTTTTCGCGGAAAGTTGTGATTGAAAAAATGCCAAGAGGATTATCAGAGGTTTTACGAGCTAGAATAGTAACTTTGAGGGAAGAAGGATACACCACGAGAGTAATAGCACGCAGACTTGCTATATCCCAATCCTGTGTCGTGGCTACGTTGCAGAGGTATCACGGAATGGGGAATTTAGCTGACCGCCCCCGCAGCGGTCGCCCAACTGTTTTGACAGCTGCCCAAAAGCGCTATATTAGATTGCTGGCAGCCCGTGATCCAACAATCAACGCCACTAAAATAAAAGCAGAAGTCAGGGCCGCCTCTGGGCTTGAAGTTAGCACGCAGACCGTTTGCAATAGCTTGCACCAGGCTGGATTACGAGCACGGAGGTCTTGGCGAGCTCCGCTCAATTCCCGGCAACGTCAACAACGAAGATTGCAGTGGGCTA